ATCTGGCAAACATGTTCATAGCAGTCCACTTTTTAATTATAATAATATGTATCCTAAATATGACTATAGGAATTGGATAAGCATTCTTACCGTAGAATACTCTGAAGTTAATAAACATGGTGATGAAGATATTTAGCAATTTTCCTTAAAACTAGTTCTCAATTCACTGCTGATTTGTGGAAATTTACTGCCCATACTAGGCAGCAACCCTAAGCAGTCTCAAGAACTGAGGCACAGATTCCTTTAGCTTTCTTTTTTTTTGGCCCAGGCTGGAGTGCAGTGGCATGATCTTGGCTCACTGCAACCTCCACCTCTTGGAATAGCTGGGATTACAGGAATGTGCCACCATGCCCAGCTAATTTTTGTATTTTTTTTTTTTTTTAGTAGAAATGGGGTTTCACCACATTAGTCAGGCGGGCCTTGAAGTCCTGACCTCAAGTGATCTGCCTGCCTTGGCATTTCAAAGTACTGGGATTACCAGGCATGAGCCACTGTGCTCGAGCAGATCCCTTTAACTTTAGACTGCATTATGCTTGCTTGGTTCAAGTTTTCCTGGCTCCTCAGTTTCTTAATCTGCAAAAAGGATGCAAATTCTTATTTTATAGGATTTTTGTGAGGATTAGAAAGAAGAACTAACATATACAGGCAATGTGCTGCTAAATTGGTACACACTGCAAAAAATGTTTGTTCCTTTATACCCTACTGTCCCCCAGAGTATATAGTCTACACTGACAAACACACAGTCATATTCATACACTATAGAGTATTATTTCTCAAAAGTATGCCCATTCTCCTATCAAGACTCACCGTCTATATTTAATGCAGGGAAATCACTGCCTTCTCTCTCCCTATTGCCCACATGGAAGGTATCTTGGAATTCTTTGGCTACTGACCTCCAACTGAGTGCAGATTCTCTGATAACAAAGCTTGATACACTGAGTTTTCCTTCTCACATCTCCTGTATTCTTGACAGCTTCAGAACAGGTATTTTGAGGGTGAGAGATGGGGCTGTGATACAAATCATTAAAACCCCAATTTCTGAATGCTGATGGCTCTTTCTGGACCTCTTAATGTGTGATCTTGGGAGGAAAACAAGGTGAGAGTATGTCTCCACTGCTTCTCAAGAGGCTTGGGGCCCACCAGCCTTCCTCCCATCTCCCCTCTATCAGTGAGGATGCTTTCAGACAATGTAAGTAACAGAGAAAACAACTGGAAGCAATGTGAACTGTAAGAACAATTATCTTATGGAGAAGTAGCATGGAAACAGGTGATTTCAGGGTCGGTGCGGTGGTCCCACCATGTCGTGAAGACTCAGGTGTACCCAGTTTGCCATCTGCATTTTGGTGTCTCCCCTTAAGGTCATGACTTAACCACAGCAGTCCAAGGTGCCATATGCCACCATTTCTTCACCAAATGGGGAAGAAAGCAGCATCTTTCCCAGAAGCCTCTCAACAGGTTCCATAGGCCAGGATTAGGTCATATACTCACTTCTCATCTGCAAGGGGAGCTGGAAAAGTGGGTAAATGGCATTGTCACCTCTGCAGAGGGCAGTGGGCTCTTCAGGAAGGAAGACAGGTTGAGGGGATGCTTGTCAGGTAGGCCACCACGGGCATCTGCCATATTTCCCTGACATCTAGTTCTCTAAACATCAGACAGCAGTATCTGAAAAGTTCAAGTCCCACCTGTCCACTCCTAGCTTGTTTTCTCTGTCACTTGCAAGCTGTCGCTGGAACGTGGAGGGTCCTGGCTGTAGCTCATGGTACACCATTTCCTGTCATCGTCTCTTGTCATTTTGTTCTATTGGCCAGAGCCCGAATTATAGGCGCCAGTTTGTCAGCAGTCTGACTGGTGGCCCCAATACTTGTTGCAATCTTCTCATTGTCTCTCTGAAAGGCTGTCTTCCTGCTGTGCTGGCATCCAAGCAGCTCCATTTCCCTTCAATAGAGTGTGAATCCCGTCTTCAGGCAGGTGGAACTCCAAGGCAACCTTCTCTGACTGACTTTAATAGGGTTTGGCAGCACATTGTCTGGTTTATTTGTTTTGTCCCCTTACTTATGAGTCTGAGAGAACACAGAACCATAACTCAGCAGAGCCACCCATGGAAGGGCACTGCTGTGTCTCCTCCCACTGGGTTATTTTCCAGGAGGGGTTGTGTGCATTGATTCACATTGTGTTTCTGACTGATACAGTTGAGTATTTGTTCCCCGCCTAAATCTCATGTTGAAATGTAATCCCCAGTGTTGGAGGTGGGGCCTGGTGGGAGGTGATCAGATCATGGGGGCTGATCCCTCATGAATGGCTTAAAGCCGTCCTTATGACGGTGAGTGAGTTCTCACAAGATCTGGTTGTTTAAAAGTGTGTGGCATGGACCGGCGCAGTGGCTCACACCTGTAATCCCAGCATTTTGGAAGACTAAGGTGGGCAGATTACCTGAGGCCTGGCGTTTGAGACCAGCCTGGCCAGCATGGTGAAACCCCATCTCTACTAAAAATATAAAAAATAGCTGGGTGTGGTTGTGGGGCGCCTGTAATCCCAGCTACTTGGGAAGATGAGGCAGGAGAATCACTTGAACCTGGGAGGTGGAGGTTGCAGTGAGCTGAGATCGTGCCATTGCACTCTAGCCTGGGCAGCAGAGTAAGACTCAGTCTCAAAAAAAAAAAAACTGTGTGACACCTCCCCCCACCCACTTCCCACTCCTGCTTTCACCATGATACATGCAACCTCCCAGTTTGCCTTCCATCATGATTGTAGCTTCCAGAGGCCTCCCCAGAAGCAAATGCCAGCACTATGCTTCCTGTACAGCCTGCTTAAGCCTCTTATAAATTACCCAGTCTCAGATTTTTTTTATAGCAATGCAAGAATGACCTAATACGCTGACTCATCAGTTATAATTACTTCAAACAGTTTAAAACAGAAACCTGATTATGATGAACCAAACAGAGATTTTATTTTTCTCATGCAAAAAGAAGTCTGGAGGAAGGCCGTCTAGAACTGATGTAATATATCCATAGTGCTATCAGAGACCCAGGCTTCCTCTTTCTTCCTGCTTTGCCATCTGTAGTGTATGGCTTCTGTGCTCATGTTTGCAAGATGACTGTTTCAATTGCATTTTGTTCCAGGCAGTTAAAAAAGCTAAGATTTTCTTTCTTTCTTCCTTTCTTTCGTTCTTTCTTTCTTTCTTTCATCTTTCTTTTGTTCATCCTCCCTCCCTCCCTCCCTCCCTCCCTTTCTTCTTTCCTTCCCTCCTTCCTATTTCTTTCCTTCATAAGGTAGCAATTAAGTTTTTCTAGAAGATCCATGCTACTGGCTTTTACTTCTACCTTATTGACCAGAGCTACATCCCATAGCCACTTCCCTGCCTGCAAGGGAATCTAAGGGAGATATGAATGCACATTGCCCAATAAATTGGTGTTCCAGTAAGGAAGAGGAAAGAATGGATACTGGGCTGGCAGCCAACAGCATCTGCCATGGAAATTGCTCCCTTCAGGCAGGTGTATTCTGGGGGAAAGGGCAGTAAACCTGGAAGTCATGGAAACTTCCCATCTGCCATATTCCCCCAAGGCATTTAGTCCTAGTCCCACACTTGAAGAGTGCCTTAAGAACTTCTAAATTTTCCAGAATACTGGTAGATATTTGCATAGGGGCATTTCTGCAGAACCTTGGCGTCCTAAAACAATAACTATTCACTTGTGCCTTTTGTCTCTCTCCTTCTCTCCCCTCCTTGGTCTTTCTCCTCCTTCCTTCCACAAATAATTCATTTTTGAGTCCCTAAGTCACATCAGACAATGTGCTAGGCACCTAGCGACACAGGCAGGTGTTGCTCCTTCCTCTGCGGAACAAAGGCAAGTTTGGCTACTGGAGGCCAGACAAGAACTGTGACTCTCAGGTGGACATCACCTGTTTGGGAGCAGCCAGGGAAGGGAGTGTGCTTGTGGCTTGTAATGAGTTCAGGCGATTTCTGGACAATATGTTTGAGCAGTCTGCCGTATGTGTGAAAAGTTACTCTGAGAGGGAAGACATGGGGCCTGGATCTTTCTGAAGGGCTGAAGTCATCCCTGGTCCTCCAGCTGTGGACATTGCACATGCATGTGGGAAGCTTGTTTTCCCAGTTACAGATGGCTGGACAAGTCAAATCAATTTCACATGGCATGGCGCCAGATTCTCCTTGGCTCCCACTCCCATCAGTCAGAATTCTTGCTGGTGATATATGCAGGAGGCACACCAGCAGGGGAGACCAGGCCTAAAAAGGCTTATGGCAGTACAGTCACACATCCAATGTCTATGTCACAACCCTTTCTTGAAAAGTTCTTAACCTGTAGAAAGCTGTGCATAGCATCCAATTACACACAAAAGGGATAAGGTGTCTTCTGGGGAAAATCTGAATTAATCAAGAATGACTATTAAAATTTTCTATTTTTAATAACTACTTATACTGTTAAACAAGTTACACCTTTCAAAATGATAATGTATACTTGATCTCATTTAGGCTT